GCCCCCCCCCGCCATCCCCCCCTGCCTCCCGAAGCGCTTTTGGGCCCGACTTGCAATAGGAGCCGCGGGGCGGGACTAGATCGAACACCCACCTCGGGGCAGACACCGGGGCGGATCCTGCACCCCTGGAGTCTTGGAGCGGGCCCTGGAGCAGCGGGCCCTGGAGCCCCCTGGTTGGGCACCCAGCCTGACTCAGCAACGCATTCGCGTTGGCGCTCGGCCCACCCTCAGGGCAACCGAGGAAGTCGCGGAGCACAGCGACGTTGATATTGCGAGCGTGGACATCATCGGGCATGAAGGGGCGCGCCAGCTGGTTCGTCGGGCCCCGAACCAAGACTGGAATCACCCAGGCGCCGGACCCACGCCCGAAGATGCATCCCCCTCGTCCGGAGGGGCGGCGGCTGCAAAGACAGAGTCGCCCAACCCCAGGGTCGTTCAACGCGCCGCTTGCCGCGCGCCCGCGCGCGCTCGCCCTTTCGGCATCCAAGAGGCCAAGCCACTCGACGCGCGGCCCCCGCTGGGGGGCAGGCAGGATGGGCGAGCCAGCAGAACTCAAAGAGCATGGAATCTAAGAATATTGGAGCTGTTTGCCGACGGGCCGACGCCCACCCCTCCCCGGCGGGCCCTCCGAACAACGTCCGATCACACCGGCCCCGCCCGGTTGCCTCTCGAAGGAGCCCCGCATCACGCGCGCGGTGCGCGGCCATCGCCGCACAGAGAGCGCGATGACAGAAGCGCGCACTCGAGTCGGCGCACTCAAAGGCTGGCCGACTGAGGCGCCCCCCCATGCCTCGCGGCCAGAACAGCTTCGAACGACAACAGAAGCATGAATATTGAACACTGCATTGGCACACCCTGCTTCATCATTGGATATACATAAGGGAACCCTCCTCCGCGCGAACACGCGTGCTTTGAGCGCGCGTTTCGGTTTGCTTGTGCCTAGGACCATGTCTTATAGTTTCCATCCTGATTCAGTTGATGGCCCAATTGCGTTTTCCTCATATGGGGTACATCTGATCCTTGCTTTTCGCATTTCACTTTCAAGTTCCCTGTCGCATGGTCGGCCAACCTACTGTTTCTGGTACTGATTCTGGGCCGCGCGACCCGCCGCCGGGGGGCCCTGGCGCGACGCCCCCCCTACGACGCGGGCCGCCCGAATCAGACTTACGGGCGCCCCCGCCTTTGGCGCTCACGGATCTCCATTACTGGAACGCGCCCTTGAAGATACGAACACGTTCGTCAAACCGCGCGCCATCGACAACGCGCGCGCGCTCGCCATCCACGCACCGTCGAAGCTCAGGGCATGCACGCACACACCTCTTAATTCCATGCCGGTTGTCATTCGTGTTATCGCGCATCTACGAGCGCCCGTTTGCGCACCATCTGCACATGCTCGCCCCAAGCTCGTCGCCCACGTGCTGCGCGCAGTCCCCGCTCTCAGCCAGGGCAACAAGCGGGCCCCCGGAGGGGTCAATTCGCTCGATCGCCCCATCGACAGGGTCGGGAAACTCAAGGCCAGCAGCATCCCGCGCAGGCGCGGCGGAACACGCCTGGGCCCCTGAAGAGAAACGAGCATAGGAACATGGTCGCTCGGACCATTCGCTTGAAAAGCGTCCCCGGCAATCCCGGCCGACGGTTTAATGCTCCCAGGAAGAAACAGACGTCGGTGCCATCACGTACACCCTATTCAAACGTCCATGGAAATGACACCCCCGAGGTCCCCAGACTTGCGCGCAGGTTCGTCCTGTGCCAGCTATAACGCGCCAAGTAGCGCGAGGTGGGAATATTGCGGATCTGGACGCTCAAAATGCTGCAGTTCGCCATCCAATGATACGGGCTCTCCTGACTCGAGAATATTGAGTCACCTGCACAAAGTGAACACGCAGACAAGTCGGGCATCGCATGAGCCACCGAGTTCGTAAGCCAACATCGCCTGGAACCACAGAGGGCGGGGCCGAGATGGACTCTGAAGTTTGAAGATACCCTTGGGCCCTCGCAAAATATGAGAGGAAGAGATACAGAGAGAGAGAGAGAGAAAGAGCAGCCGACCGCCGTTCCACTGCATCGGCTCTACCGTCGTAAAATTACAAAGAAAGGAGTTGGCGACGCTGATCGTCACGCCACCGGCGTGCTGGTTGTAGCACAACGGAGCGACGCGTGCATGCGCGCCGGATAATCTCGACAGGGTGCCCCAGGATCTGCGTCAGTTCCATGTGGCTCCTGCATGCGCGTAACAGTATGTGTTTTGATTTGGGTGCAAGCTGACGTAGTTTGTTCGTCCGCCTCCGAAGGTCACCGTCCACACTTCCAAAAAATGCTTGCGAGTTCTAAATACACATCGAAAACTTCTGCTCCACCGTGGTCCCCGAGCACGGGGCGAGGGTGACATGGTCCATCGGCTCGTCGTTGATAGCGGTGTAACAGAGGCCCTGGCAGTTGCAAGCCTAGATACTCGATGTGTTCCAGCGCCCATTGTCGCGCATGCTCGTGGAGATGTGCTTCCGTACCAGACTGAGAATAATACAATTTGTTTGGCATCATACAGCTCATCGAAGCCGATGTGGAAGTCATGGCGAGTGCCCGTAGACGCCTGTGTAGGACGAATGGGATGGTCTCCCGCGTGCACGTAGAAGGCCTCGGCGTGCTCGGCTTCGTCGAACTTGCTGGCGCAGGCGAGCCACAGACTCTGACACTGGCAATGGCACTTCTCGCGACACTCATCCAGCATGGAGTTTCCGATGATGGTCGAGTCTCTTTCGAAGACGACCTCCAGCTGTTTTTGGGGAAACCATCGGGTCCAAAATTTGGATCTGTCTGAAAGCAAGGCGAAGCGAGCAGACCGCACCGAAGGGGTGCCTATGGAAGAGGCGGCAGATCATGTCGTTGCACCTTTGAAGTTGCGGCCCAGGTCAGCAAACTGAGCCACACGGGTTTGCAGGCGCGCGACAGAAGAGCACGTGGCAACAACCTCACAGACGTCCTCCATCTTTGCACCTCCGTCACGTCGAAGACCTTGCAGCCTCTTCCCGAACCCATCCATTTTCGAGGCATGTGCTGCGATGTGGTTCTGCATGTGCACAATCGAGCTCGCGTTTCGGCGATGCCTGCGAGAGCCGCTTGGCCAGGCTGGCGGGATGCTGCCGGCATTGGAGATGTCCAGATTGACTGGCGCCACCATCTCAACGATGATTAGCCTCAACTGAGCGGCATGCCTGCTGGAAAACTGTGATCAGAAGACAGAAAGTAACGAAACGGAAGGCTTCCAGTACTAGGGCAGTTGGATGGGGGCGGAAGTGCGAAGAAACTTCTTGTGCCCGTCCTTGGGCCCTCCCCACGGCTGCGCACAAGTTATATGCCTCAGCAAGCGCAGGTATCGTACTTGAGCCAAAATGTTTGCGGCTGCTATCGCGTTATTGATGATGACGATGATGGTGGTGATAGTGATGGTGGTAATGATGATGTTGATCGTGCTGATGATGATGGTGAGAACGATGATGACGATGATGACGATGATGACGATGCTGATGATGACGATGATGACGATGATGACGATGATGACGATGATGACGATGATGATGATGATGAGGATGATGGCGATGGTGCTTAAGATCATGATGAGGATGAGGATGATGAGGATGATGATGATGATGATGATGGTGATGGTAATGATGATGATGCTGATGCTGCTGCTGCTGATAGTGAGGATGATAATGATGCTGATGGTGATGATGATGTTGATGGTGATGATGAGGATGATGATGACGATGATGATGATGACGATGACGATGACGATGACGATGATGATGATGATGATGATGGTGGTGACGATGGTGATTATGATGATTAGTATGATGATGATGATGATGATGATGATGATGATGATGATGATGATGATGATGATGATGATGATGGTGATGATGATGATGATGGATGATGATGATGATGATGATGATGATGATGATGATGATGATGATGATGATGATGATGATGATGATGATGATGATGATGATGATGATGATGATGATGATGATGGTGGTGGTGGTGGTGGTGGTGGTGATGGTGACGGTGATGGTGATCGTGATGGTGAGGGAGAGAGGGGGGGCGGGAAAGGGGGAGGAGATCATGCGCGGGGGTGTGCAGCGAGAAGAATACACCCACGTTGGCTGTGGGGGATCAGCGAAAGTGGATGCGTTGGTATCTCAAGACAGGGGAGCGGGGGTATGAGGACGAAGAAGAGGGAGGGAGAGCGAAGCGACAAGCCAGGTGCGCTCGCGCCATATCTGACATTCTACTTCTCCCACCAGTCCCCTCCGATTGCGTTGTGTGCTCTGTATCTGCCGACGGGTGTCATTGCGAACTTGGGACCCCCAAAGGACCCCGATGTGCCATGTACAATGACAGAAGGGAAGCTGAGTACATTGGAGGAGGTGGAGGATCAACAGGAGGATAAGCAGCAGGATGAGGAGGAGAAGGAAGGACAAGGACGAGGAGGAACAGCAGCAGCAGGAACAGGGGTGACAGAAGCGGTAGGAGCAGGATGACCAGGGGAAGGCGGGGGGAGGGGAAATTTGCGGGGTGACAACGATGAGAAAGCACTCAAAGCCAGAAAAGCGGCCCGAGCTGGGGCGAGAGTGCCAGTCTGAATGATGGGAGCAAAGTGCTGATCCTAAAGTGAGGCCATCGCTACATTGTGATCACCATTTTGAGACACCATCAACGCTCTCACTGTAAAAACCATCGCAAACCCAACTGTTCAAACCCCGTGTATACCAACCGAAAAAAAGGCGGAACGGGGCGGGCCCCGCCCCTGAAATCTTCGGGGGAGAGAGAGGAGAGCAGTACTCGTATTGAGTAAGTGTAGAGCTCAGCGAAACAAGGAGAAGGACGGGGAGCGGGGGCCTGCAACGCTCAGACTTTACACATTCCATACGCACAACCCGCGGAGCGAGGGGAATCCACAAGATGCCACGGCCTGGGGGAAGCGGCGGCAGAAAGCGCAGCCCTTCGGATATTTTTCGAGGGCGCACGGGCATCCTCGGCAGATTGAACGATGCTGGTTGATACTGAGCGCACACAGCCAGTAAGTCGACTGCAATAACCCTTGAGCCCGTAGTGTGTTGATGAGCGCGCGCGTTCCGTCTGCTGTCTTGAGCTGATCGACTCTGGAGCCATAGTATTCCTCTTCGAGCGCATCCGCAACAATAGCCGCCACTGTGTGTGAAAACACATTCGCCCAATGATGAGTCACCATTTTGGATGGCAGTACCGCTTCGCCGTAAGAGGCTAATGTTGCGAACGCACCAGCCCCAAGTTCATCCCTATGCCTGTCAGTGTCATCCCACTGCCACCGCCAAGTGTAAAATTGACCCAGATCAGCTGTCAAAGGCACAACGCTGCCACTGACAACTTCATGTGTAGTGCTGCGAGTCGGACTAAAATCCAACATGGTTTCAAACAAATGTGCGTAAAACTCGAGAATTGCATTCAATGTGACTCCTCGCTCGCTAACTTCTTCGACTTTGGATTGCCATTGAAGTGCACTACCCGTTGTACGCGTACATCTGTTGACGTCACCACCGCTGGTACTCATGGGTGCGCTCGCAGTCGCCTCTGCCACCCCGTCGTGTTCGATGCCGGAATCATCTTCAGCCGCGATGTGATGATCATCCGCTGGAGCACAATCGACACTGAGCATAACTCGAGACAGAACTTGTGGGACAAGTGACTCGAGCTTGCGTTGGCCCTAGCCAGAATGACAGAATTCAAACTGACCTGGGCTGAAATAACTCGAGTCAAGATGGCTGGAGAGGCTCCAATCTTAGCGCTGTCGTGGGACCCTGTGGGCCCGTATTGTTGCACTCTTTTGGAGCTCCCTTGTGGCTACTTGGAACCGTCTGGGAGCCGATTCAGTGCCCTCTAGGGCTGTCTTGGGCCGGCAATCTTGGAGCCGTTTTGCACCGAGCTGGGGCCCGACCCGTATTCCTTGTCCTCCTCCTCATCATCTTCCCCTTCTTCCTCCTGTTCCTCCTCCTCCTCCTCTTATCACCATTAGCAGCAACACCATCATGATAACCACCATCGTAATCATCATCAGCAGTAGCAGCAGCGTCGGCGTCAGCGTCAACATCATACTCATGAGCATCATCATCATCATCACCACCATCACCATCAACATCACCATCATCATCAGCATCATCATCCTTCTAATCATCATCAGCATCACCATCAGCATCACCATCAGCATCATCATCACAACCAACATCATCAGCATTGTCATCATCCTCATCATCATCATCGTCATCATCAGATTCATCATCATAATCATAATCAGCATCATCATCAGCATCGTTATCTTCTTATCATCATCAGCAGCATCATCATCGTCATCGTCATCGTCATCATCATCATCATCGTCGCCATCATCATCGAAAGCAGTATCAATAACATCATCATCGCCACGATCGGCATCATCATCATCAACAGCATCATCATCAGCAGCATCATCATCATAATTAGCATTATTGTCATCACCATCGAAATCGTCATCATTTTCATCGCCACCACCAGAATCATCATCATCAATATCATCATCAGCAGCATCAGAATCCTCATCATCATCCTCGTTCTCATCCTCATCCTCCTTATCATAAGCAGCATCAGTATCAACAGTATCATTATCACCACCACCATCATCATCATCATCATCATCATCATCATCCTCATCTCAATCGTCAGTTTCATCATCCTGGTAACCACCATCATCAGCAGCAGCACCACCATCAGCAACATCATCATCACCATCAGCAGCATCAGTATCAACAGCATCATCACCACCACCGTCATCATCATCCCAATCATCTTCATCACCAGCATCCGCATCATCAACACTATCATCACCATCATCAACAACATCATCATCACCATCACCATCACTGTCACACCCTCATCATATTCCGCACCCTCGTTCTCATTATCATCCTCACGACCACCATCATCAAAATCACCGTCACCACCATATTGCGCATGCCTCAATCGTTCCTCCATCCCTCATCCTCCCTCCTCATCTCACTCTTTACTCCTCTCTCGTTCTCCTTATAAACAATTTCTCCCTGTCGCACCCCGAGGCCAGTCAAAAGGGCGGGCGGGGCGTTTCGCCCGAGCCTTCCTCACCATTCTAATGACCCCGAGGCTAAAAAGTTGGCAACCGCTTCACGGATGCAGGGCCGGCAGTTCTCAAAGTGTGGCAGGTGTGGCTTCTCCTCCTCCTCCTCCTCCTCCTGCGCCTTCCCCTCCTCCTCCTCCTCCTCCTCCTCCTCCTCCTCCTCCTTCTGCGCCTTCCCCGACCCATCCTCCATCTCCCTCCTCCTCCTCCTCCGCATTCGCCCCGCTCCGCCTCCCCTCCTCTGCCACATCTTCACTTTCCCTCATCTTGATCGTCACGTCATGATGCTCTTCCTCTTCCTCCTCCTCATCCTCTTCGTGCTCTCCCTTCGCCAAACACACAAGGCCCCGTTCCGCATGCTGTGTGATTGCCAGCACATTGGCGCTTACTTCGAAGCCGACGCAGGTACGACCGAGCCAATCGCCAAACATAGCGAAACTTACCATGAGTCAATCTGGAACAGAAACTCGAAGAGGTGTCTGCAGAGGACTCCTGGAGCAGCACAGGATCTTGCCATACTGGCGTCGGACAGCATCTTGAGCCACGGGGCCAGGGTGGGGAGCAACACTCCTTTTCCTCCTCCTCCTCCTCCTCCGCCTCCGCCTCCGCCTCCGCCTCCGTCTCCGCCTCCGCCTCCTCCTCCCCCTCCTCCTCCTCCTCCTCCTCCTCCTCTTCCTCCTCCTCCTCCTCCTCCTCCTCCTCCTCATCATCATCATCATCATCATCATCGTCATCATCATAGTATCATTACTGATTTTCTTCTGAATCACCCTATTAGAATTGTAAGTATTTCATCCGTATCATTATCATTAGTATTGTTCGTCTGCTTATTACTATTATTGCTCTTAATAATAGTATGTGTCTTACGCTTGGATTAATTAGTCGTTTCTCTTCTTCGTGTCATGACTACGTGTATCCGTATCATGATCATTCTGTTTCGTCGAATTACTACTCTTTTTAGTCTTATTCCCTACCTTGGCTCTCCCTATAAGGGTTCTTACTCTGAGGCTTAAAGGGCCGGGCAGTGGAATGCGCTCCGGGCGGTTCCCCCAGGATCCGCCCCGCGGTTCCCCCAGTGACGTTCCCTTAGCTTCGCGTTGCTCGTCTCATCTTAGCTTAGCTGATTTCATCTTAGCTTAGTTTAGCTTCATCTTAGCTCAGGTTTATCTTAGCTTCGCTGAGTTTTCGCATAGCAGAGCACAGCATAACATAGCATAGCGTAGCATAGCATAGCGTCGCATCGCATATCATAGGATGCGTGTAATTCCCTATCCAGGCTCTGCTTAGAGGGTTGGCGCAGCGCTGCATTAGCGCTGCATTAGCGCTTAGAGGGTTGGTCCAGCTTTGCTGAACTTAGTATAGCGCAGCGCTGCATTAGCATAACATAGCATAGCATAACATAGCCAAGCATAGCATAGCATAGCGCAGCATAGCATAGCATAGCATAGCATAGCATCGCATAGCGCAGCTAAGCATAGCATAGCTAAGCTTAAAGGGCCGGGCAGTGGGGCTCGCCCCGGGCGGTTCCTCCGGCATCCGCCCCGCGGTTCCCCCAGTGACGTTCCCTTAGCTTCGCGTTGCTTATCTCATCTTAGCTTAGCTTGTTTCATCTTACCTTAGCTTCATCTTGGCTTAGCTTAGCTTCATGTAGATGTTGCTGTCCTAGATCCTCCAACTCCTAGGTAGGGTCGTATTTGGATAATTATTGTTGTTCGTGGTATTATGAGTTCTCTTATGAGTAGTAGTCGTATTATTCGTGTTGATCGTCTTCGCCTTCGTCTTAGCATCATGATTAAATGTATTCTCAATGCTGATATAATTAATGTCATGTATCCTCCTCTCCCTCCTCCTGCTCCTCTTCCTCCGCCTCCTCCTCCTCCTCCTCCTCCTCCTCCTCCTCCTCCTCCTCCTCCTCCTCCCTCCTCCTCCTCCTCCTCTCCTCCTCCTCCTCCTCCTAAAGACCCCTCTTCCCTCCTCCTCCATCTCCCCCTCCATCCTCCCCTCTCCTCCTCCACCCACCTCCTCCTCCTCCCTCCCTCTTCCTCCTACCGTTTTCATCCTTCTACCTCCTCATCCTCCTCCTCCTGCTCCTGCTCCTCCTCCTATCTCCTCTCCTCCTCCTCCACCTCCTCCTCCTCCTCTCTGTTTTCTTCTCCTCATTTTCCGCCTCATCCTCCTCCTCCTCATCATCAGCATACAGTCATCCCGTACATCATCCATCATCATCATCATCATCACATCATCATCATCATCATCATCATCATCATCATCATCATCATCATCATCATCATCATCATAACATCATCATCCATCATCAATCATCATAATCAATCATCATCATCATCATCATCATCACATCCTCATCATCATCAGCATCAGCATCATCATCACCCATCATCATCATACATCATCTTCATCATCATCACATCATCATCATCATCATCAACCATCATCATCATCATCATCACATCAGCATCAGCATCAGCATCAGCATCAGCATCATCATCATCATCATCATCATCATCATCATCAGCATCATCATCATCAGCATCAGCATCAGCACCAGCATCACCATCATCATCATCATCAGCATCATCATCATCAGCAGCAGCAGCATCAGCATCATCATCATAATACTCAACATCAGTATCATCAGCATCAGCAGCATCAGCATCATCCGCATCATCATCAGCACCATCATCAGGTCATCATCAGCACCATAACCATCATCATCAGCAGCAGCATCCTCATCGTCAGCAGCATCAGCATGAGTAGCATCACCATCATAATCAGCATCATCGTCATCATCAGCATAAGCAGCATCATCATAATCGTCATCATCCTCAGCCTCCGCATCATCATCAGCATCATCAGCATCATCATCGTCATCGTCATCATC